GAGGCACTGGGATTCCACTGGTTTGGCTCAGTGGATAGAGCGGTGGCCTGCAGGGCTGAAGGGTCCCGGGTTCGAATCCTTTCATGGGCATCTCGGTTGCAGGCTCCTCCCCGGCCCGGGCCCTGGTCGGGCGCAACCAATCGACGTGTTTCTCTCCCACCGATGTTTCTATCTTTCCCTCTCTCTCTAAAAATCAATGGAAAAATATCCTCCGGTGAGGATTTAAAAAAAAAAAAGAAAAGAAATGAGGATTGTCTCTTTTAAGGCGTTCCCGTGTCTGACTCTGACTCGAGTCCTGGAAAGAGCTTCCTGAGCCACGGTGCTCATGCCAGTGGCTCCAGGCAGGCCCTGAGGCTGTGGGTGCCTCACTTTCCTCATCCACAAAACGGAGCTCCTGGCCTGGCTCTACCCGTCTGACAGGTCGGCCGGCGTGAGGTGGCGGTGAGGCACCGCCTGGGAAAGTGTTTTGGAAACTCACGTGTTTTCACTCGGGGAATGCTGCCTCATCACATCTCCGGTCCACTGCCCAGCGCGGGGAAGCGTGACGGGAGCACTCACTGTGACTTCCTTACGCGGGGTTCACGGGGACGGAGGGGTGTCCACGGGAGCCCCTGAGCGCCGGGCTCTGCTCTGGGGCTGGGAGACAGTGGGAGGAAAGACAGACGAGGCCCTTCTCACAGAGCTTAGGTGCCCGGGGAGAGGCGGGCCACACAAAGGGTGACAAAGGAGAAACAAGAGACGCTCAGGGAAAGGCCAGTGCTTGGTGGAGAGGGACAAGGCAGGGGCGAGTGTAGTGGAGACCGAGAAGGCTTCTCTGAGGCCGTCACACCTGAGCGACCAGGACAGCCGTGCCAGTACCTGGCACCAAGTGTTCCAGTGCAAAAGCCCCGAGGCAGGGACACCCTCCAGGTCAAGGAGGGGGCGGCGCTGGGAGGCGGGCCAGGGTTTAAGCCAGCGGTTCTCAACCTGTGGGTCGCGACCCCTTTGGCGGTCGAACGACCCTTTCACAGGGGTCGCCTAAGACCATCCTGCCTATCAGATATTGACATGACGATTCATCACAGGAGCAACATGACAGTGATGAAGTAGCCACGACAATAATGTTATGGTTGGGTCACAACACGGGGAACTGTATTTAAAGGGCCAGAAGGTTGAGAACCACTGGTTTAAGCAGAGGCGAGATAGGATCTAGTTCCTGTGGCATTAAGACCGCCCTCCGGACCTGGAGGGCATCACACTGAGTGAAACAAGTGGGTCAGAGAAAGACAAGTAGCACATGATCTCACTCATATGTGGAATCTAAGTAACAAAATACACGGATGAACGGAGTGGATCCAGAGACATGAAAGCATAGAACAGAGGGCGGGATCTCGGAGTGAAGGCAGGGGAGGGTGGGTATGTGGGAGGTAATCGACCAAAGACCTTGTGTGCATAGATGCATGGCCTATGGGCACAGACAGGGGTGGTGCGGGCCTGGGGGCGGGCAGGGGCAGGCTAGAGGGGGTCAATGGGGGGATAAAGGGGGACAAATGTAATACTGTCAACAATAAAGAATTATTTAAAAAAACAAAACAAAAAAAAGAAATAGGCTACAAGCAACCAAAGGGGAAAAAAATAAGATCACCCTCCATTGGGATTGCAGTGCCATCTCCCACAGGCTGTGTTGGGCACCCCAGAAAAATCTGACGGCCTGCAAGAGCTAAATCTGAACCAGCCCAAACGTCGGAACCTGCATACTAGCAGAACCGAGACGCAGCGTTTAGGCGGGCAGCTGGTCTAGGGTCACCCTCCTGCTCCATTCCCTGGCTGGCATTCGGCCCAGGCCTCTGACCCCCGGCCTCTGCCCCCCGAGGCCACCCCACCAGGGGAGGATGGGAGGGTGTCTTCACTGAGGCCACAAGGGCTGGAAGGGGGCCCAGTGCCCCAAGGCTTCCCGCTTGGGTCTCAGCCACGGAGACCCACAGGCTGGGCTCCGGAGAGAAAATGCATTGCCCAGCTGGGCCTCGTCCTGCACCGCCAGGCCCGGCCCTCCGCCCTCAGCTGGCAAGGGCAGGGAGGAGGGGCGGGTCTCCGGGCCCCGCCAGCCAAGAGCAACCCGATCCAGCAGGAAACGGGCCTTCAGCCAGACCAAGCACCAACCCAGCACCTGGAGCCTTTGTTCCCTTTATTCCTGTTGCAAACTTTCCCAGGCACCTGCACCTGGGCCTGGCCAGGGCTCCCACGAGATCTGGTACCCGACGGGGTGAGACCCCGAGGGAGGTCTTGTGGTATTATAACAACAACAACCACGATAACAGCATCCACCTTTGGCGCTCTGACTACACGCGGGTGTCATTTCGTTTAACCCTCGCACCAGACCCGTGAGGCAACAGCTACTATCATCCCCATTACACAGATTAGGAAACAGAGGCACACAGAGGGGCGATAACCTGTGCAAGGTCACGCGGTATAAGGAAGTAACAACAGCCCGGGCTTCGGACTCAACACACCCCACCCCCACGTGCGTCTATGACCTTGGACAAGGCACACGTGCATGTTACCAAGCCTGTCGTCTGATTCTGACCTCGGTGGACGGCTGTGCAGATGAAATGATTTGAGGACCTCACAGCCTCCGGCGCCTGGCTCCCGAGCCAGACACACCTTGCCACCCTCCTCCCCACTTCCCACAGCTCCGTGACCTTCAGCACGTGACCGTCACTCAAGCCTCAGTTTCCTCACCAAAGAAATCAGACAATAATATTACCCCACGGGCCTGGGGAAAGCCTAGAGCCCATCTGTCTCTCTCTCTCTCTCTCTTTTTTTTTAATTTAGCACGTTAGCCGTGGCTGGTTTGGCTCAGTGGACAGAGCGTTGGCCTGCGGACTGAAGGGTCCCAGGTTCGAGTCCAGTCAAGGGCACATGCCTGGGCTGTGGGCTCGATCCCCAGTAGGGGGCATGCAGGAGGCAGCCAAACAATGATTCTCTCTCATCGTTTCTATCTCTCTCTTCTCCCTTCCTCTCTCTGAAATCAATAAAAATATAAAAAAACTTAGCACTTTATTTATTTATTTATTTAGTATTTATTGTTAATCTTCACCCAAGAATGTTTTCCCTCTGATTTTTAGAGAGAACGGAAGGTAGAGGGAGAGACCGAGAGAGAGAAACATTGATGTGAGAGAGACATATCGACTGGTTGCCTCCTGCATGAATCCGAGCGGGTCTGGGGATCAAGCCCGAAACCAAGGTACGTGCCCTTGACCAGAATCAAACCCGGGACCCTTCGGTCTGCAGGCCCACGCTCTATCCACTGAGCCAAACAGGCCAGGGCTGGAGCCCATCTCTTGAAATGGCCACACTCCTGAGACCATCTGAGAAAGATGTTGTTTTATACTAAGTTGCCTTCTTTACTTTCCACCCAAATAAACACAGACACACAAATGGAAAAACCAGTCTTGGAACCACTCTCCCCTTGAGACAAAAGCCAGTCTTACTCATACCGCTGGGCTCAGTGGATTCTCTCAGAAGAAAAACCAGAAGTGACCGCTCTGGTCACCATGTGGCTAACAGAGTTCTCTCCAGTTCCACACCCTGAGACAAGACGAGTGATCCCACTCGAGACGCACATGCCAAGTGTAAGCGAGATCCACCAGGGATTTCAGCCATAAAAACAAAAAAATACCTTTTCCTATAAACCAGCCAATATTTATCAAGTTCTGGTTGTCCACAAAGGTGCTATGGTGCTGTCATCTGATTCTGACCTCGGCGGACGGCTGTGCAGATGAAATGATTTGAGGACCTCCCAGCCTCTGGCTCCTGGCTCCCAAGATATGGTTTGTGTCCCCGATATCAGGGGATAAACATGAAAACATAAGCACTCGCCCAGCCAGAATGGCTCCGTGGTGGAGCATCAACCTATGAACCAGGAGATCACGGTTCGATTCCCAGTCAGGGCACATGAGTGGGTCTTGGGCTCGATGCCCAGTGTGGGGCTTGCAGGAGGCAGCTGATTAACGATTCTCTCTCATCGTTGCTGTTTCTATCTCTCTCTCCCTCTCCCTTCCTCTCTGAAATCAAGAAAAATACATTAAAACCAGAAAAGAGCCCTGACCGGTTTGGCTCAGTGGATAGAGCGTCGGCCTGCGGACCAAAGAGTCCCGGGTTCGATTCCGGTCAAGGGCATGTACCTTGGTTGTGGGCACATCCCTAGTAGGGGGTGTGCAGGAGGCAGCTGATCGATGTTTCTAACTCTCTATCCCTCTCCCTTCCTCTCTGTAAAAAATCAATAAAATGTATTTAAAAAAAGAAAAAGAAAACATAAGCATACATCTGTTGTAGGTATACCTCAGGGGGGTGGTCCCACTTTTCCGAATGGCCATGTTTGTTTTTCCAGATGCACACTTTTGGGGATCAATTGCTCTTCTCTAGCCTCGTGCTGCCATTCAAGTAGGGGCTGCCAATCATCCTACATCCCTGCCCCTGGCCACAGGGATTGGTCCAAGGGAACAGCATGTAATCCAGAAAAACCAAGTCTATTTGAGCTCTCCCAGGAGGTAAACATTGGAGCTGAAGACACGATGAGAGGCAAGAGAGGAGCCATCATGGCCTCTCGGATTCCTGTCGTTCCTAAGGCAGGCTCCGCCTACTCATCCCCTGGTGCTGTGGTTCAATGAGCCAATAAATTCCTGTCTGTTCCTGGCCTCACCCAACCACCAGGCATTGGTCGAACGGTCATAAACACAACAGAGCAGTAGGAGAGATGTCACGGGCAAGACTTGAGGATTTGCCAAGTGAAAGGTTTTTGGTTTTATTTTTTTAATATATTTTATTGATTTTCCACAGAGAAGAAGGGAGAGGGATAGAGAGCTAGAAACATCGATGAGAGAGAAACATTGACCAGCTGCCTCCTGCACGCCCCCCAGTGAGGATGTGCCCGCTACCAAGGTACATGCCCTTGACGGGAATCGAACCTGGGACCCTTTGAGTCCGCAGGCCGACGCTCTATCCACTGAGCCAAACCGGTTCGGCAAGTGAAAGTTTTAAGCAATCAGGCTGTGAGGTCAGACCCAGACAAGAACACCTCATTCATTCAAGTCAACAAATATTTATTCAGCCCTTACTTGTTACGCACTTAGGACATAGCAGCGACCGAGACAGACGAGGTCCCTTTCCTCACTGGGGAGTTGTCAGAAGGGACTTCCTAGAGTTGGAGAGGCTCCAGGAGGTCACAGAGGGATGGTACAGCCTGGCCCGGCAGAAACGGGGCGGGGGGAGAAAAGCATAAATAAGAACGTGAAGGTATGAGACTGTAGTGGCCCTGAAGGCAAAATGTCTTGTATCCCCATAGTGCCTGGCTTCAGTGGGCTCTCAATAAGTGTTTATGGCCCAGCTGGCGTGGCTCAGTGGTTGAGTGTCAATCTATGAACCAGGAGGTCACGGTTCACTCCCGGTGAGGTCACTTGCCCGGGTTGCAGGCTCGATTCTCAGCGTGGGACGTGCAGGAGGCAGCCGATCCATGATTCTCTCTCATCACTGATATTTCAATCTCTCTCTCCCTTTCCCTCTGAAATCAATAAAAATATATTTTAAAAAATAATAAAATATAAGTGTTTATTGCATGTATGGATGAGTGAAAGGATGAATGAATGAATGAGGTCAAGTACAAGTCATCTGGGGGGAAGGCAGGCCACCCAGCTGGGCTGGAGAAGAGCTACTTTTAGAGAAGGTAACGCTGAGGAAGGGAGACTGAAGCCAGGCCACAGAGGACCTCAATGAAAAATGTGGACTTTGCATGGGCCACATCACACAATCCCAGGGCGGGGACGGGCTGGCCTGGCGGCAGAGCGGCTCCCGTAGGCCCTGTGTGGCCCCCCATCTCTGTTGTGGTTGCCACACCCAGCCAGACTCCACCCAGCACCCTAACCAGCACCACAGCACGCAAGGTCATGCCCCAGACACCACCGCCCTCCTGGCTCCTGGGCCAAGCTGCCAGCACAGCATTTCTGCCCAGTCTGTAATTTACATATGACCACTCTTGGCCCTCTGCAGACATACACCCGCTGCGGGAGCTGCCGGAATAGGAAAAGAGGTCTGGTGTCCACCCCAACCCTGGCACCTGGGCTGCAGAGAGGGGGTTAAAGTCCCTAAGGGAGGCTGAGGCTGGGCACAGCCTTTGTCACCATACTTGGCTCCATGGCCTAGGATTAGGCAGACGGCGCCCTCTTGTGGTCAGGATCCACCCTGCACCTCGGTCTTTCTGGACAGTAAAAATTTGCCTTTAATTTTTCAATTTTTATTTATTTTTTAAAAATATTTTTTATTGATTTAAGAGAGGAAGAGAGAGATAGAAACATCAATGATAAAAGATAAGCACTGATCGGCTGCCTCTTGTACGCCCCTCACTGGGGATCGAGCCCGCAACCTGGTTATGTGCAACCCAGGCATATGCCAAGACCACGAATTGAACCGTGACCCGACCTCCTGGTTTATAGGTCGATGCTCAACCACTGAGCCAAGCCAGCCCAGCCAATTTTTTTTTTTACTTTTTTAAAAAGAAAATATCGGCCTAGCCGGCATGGCTCAGTGGTTGAGCATCAACCTCTGAACCTGGAGGTCACAGGTTCGATTCCCGGTCAGGGCACATGCCCGGGTTGCGGGCTCGATCCCCAGTAGGAGGCGTGCAAGAGGCAGCCGATCCATGATTCTCTCTCATCATTGATGTTTCTCTCTCTCTCTCCCTCCCTCTCCCTTCCTGTCTGAAACATAAATAAACTCAATAAAAGTATTTTTTTTAAAAAAAAAGAAGAAAATATCTTTCTGAAAAGCCAAGCACACAACTAAATCATTTAAATTAGACAGACTGCTCTGTCAAGGAATCTCATAGTAAAGACTTTTGGAAAAAGCTATTTCAGATTTTCCAAAGCCCACACGAATTTTTCTGACTCTGATTTCCTTGAACACTTATGTGCTGAGGCGGAAGAACGAGATGTCCGGACACGGCTGTTTTAGTTCCTTGCCGGCTCCGTGAAGGGTCTCCCCGGGCCAGTCTGTTCCGTGAGGTTACCCCACAGGCCTCCCACCGCTCTGTAATTCTAACAGCTCCATCAGGGCAGGTAGATGCCTCCTCGGCCAAAGGAAATGCCCAAGCAGGGGGCTCCTCCGTAGACATTCCTCGGCTCTGAACACGCAGCTTTTCACCTCGATCGTGTTTGTTTACCGTGGGGGCCAGCCCGGGAGTGGCGGTGATGTTAACGCGTGTACAAGCATTTCTGTCTGTGTTACGTAACGCCCTGTTTACATTCTAGTGGGTGGTGGTGTGTCTGCGTGGAGGAGGATGGCGAGACCGACACAACTCGAGACAGATTCCGATCTCAGGGGCCTGGATCCACCTTAGACACAACACCTTACACATGACACAACCTGCAAACAACCACAAACCAGCGGCAGAGTAAACTAAACATGCATGTGCTGAGGGCAAGAATCAGGGTGGGTGGAAGGCTGACAGCAGGATACTTGCTGCAAAGAGAGCTTGAGAGGAGTCTGGGAGCATGCCAGACCCACCGACGGAGGCCTTCGGGGGCTGGAGTGATGCCAAGGAGGAAGCCAGCATCTACCCATCTTTGGAGACACAGCCATTATTCCCCCACAGCACAGAGGCCCACCTGGACCGCCTCTGAGACTTCTGCCCTTGCCAAAGACCCCACAGGCCTTCCACCTTCCTTCTGCCCACCACCAGGCTGCCCGTGATCAAACAGGAAGCACATGATCAAACACTACCAGGGCCCTAGCTGGTTTGGCTCAGTGGATAGAGCATTGGACTGCGGTGTGAAGGGTCCTGGGTTCGATTCTGGTCAGGGCACATGCCCGGATTGCAGGCTCGATCCCCAGTAGGGGGCATGCAGGAGGAAGCTGATCCATGATTCTCTGTCATCGTTGATATTTCTTTCTTTTTTAAAAATGTATTTTATTGATTTTTTTACAGAGAGGAAGGGAAAAGGAGAACGATAGAGAGTTAGAAACATCGATGAGAGAGAAACATCGATCAGCTGCTTCTGCACACCCCCTACTGGGGATGTGCCTGCAACCAAGGTACACGACCCTGACCGAATCGGACCTGGGACCCTTCAGTCCGAAGGCCGACGCTCTATCCACTGAGCCAAACTGGTTAGGGCTCATCATTGATATTTCTATGTCTCTCTCCCTCTCCCTTCCCCTCTGAAATCAACAAAAATCCTATGTAATAAAACCCTAATATGCAAATCGACCAAACAGTGGAATGACTAGTCGCTATGGCGCACTGACCACCAGGGGGCAGATGCTCAATGCCGGAGCTGCCCCTGGAGATTAGTGTGCTCCCACAGGGGGAGCGCCGCTCAGCCAGAAGCTGGGCTCTCGGCTGGCGAGTGTAGCAGTGGTGGCAGGAGTCTCTCCTGCATCCATGGCAGTGCTAAGGACCCCTTGTGGGGAGTGGGCCTAAGCTGGCAGTTGGACATCCCCCGAGGGGTCCCAGACTTCGAGAGGGCTCAGGCCGGGCTGAGAAACCCCCTCCCCGCAGTGCACGAATGTTGTGCACCAGGCCTCTAAAAGCAACACACAAACAACAAACATTACCAGGGATACGGGGCCCACTTGTACACCTCTCACTGCCCCTAAGGCTGCGCATGGGGGCATCCGGGTACCCCTTGCCAGCACAACCTTGGTTAGGTACTACTGGTTATGCCTCTGTCCTGGCCCTGCCTGCATATCAAAAGGGAGCAGACTAAGTCCTTCAGATCTACAGAGTGGGGAAGGCTTGCAACTCCAGAAGCCAGGAATTCTCTGTCACTGTGCCCACAGATGGGGCTGCAGCACACACACGTGCCAGCCATCCACTCTGACTGTGACTAGCCTGGAAGTCAGTCCTGGTTGGTCCCGGGGTGCAGCACAGAGGGCACGGATGCAGCTGTGTGGCTGGAGGGCAGGAGGAGTCAGCTGTCTTTAACTACATCTCAGACAAGGAAGGTTATTAGGGAGGAATGCAGGGCGTGGGGATGCGGAATTCCTCTGGGCCTGTCTATGCTCCGCTAGCGATTATTCGAAAGACAAGCAGAGGCCAGTTTACTCACTGACGGTGGGATATGAGGGGACCAGGAAGGTGCTCAGCGAGAAAGCAATTCATCTGAAGACAAAGATGCACCACACAGCTGGAAACATTAGGACATCAGGTGAAGAGACGATAGGGGCAGAAACAGAATATTGGGGACCAGCTAGAATTGTAAGAAATACGAATCCTGCTCTGTTAACCGTGATTGTTTTGTTCTGATGAAAGAAGGCACCTTCTAACCTGGCTGCGAGTTGCATGTGAGACCTGGGGGCTCACCTGGAAACGAAGCCCATCCTCTCCGCCCAGGAGCTGCCTATCATCAGGGAAAGATTAATCACCTTGTTGCAGAAACCAGAGCCGCCAGCCCTTTGAAGACCCCCAGCCTTTGCACCCACAAGCCTTTGACAATCTCCAGCCCCCATGACCTGTACGCTGCCCATTTGGCATTCCCTTCCCCATGTAACCTTTGTCCTTCTACCCGATATAAGCAGCTGGCTCAAGGTGAGGGGTAGAGCAGACGTTTGTGGACGGCCTGCTGCTCTCCCATACGGCGGCATTATTGGAATAAACGCTCACAGATGATTCGACCCTGTCTCTGCTTAATTGGCTCAGGTAGTGACAGGCAGCCCCTATTGTCCAGTTACAGAAAGACCAAGCCACCTTCTCACCAGCCCATTTCCAACTCCTGGGGTCATCTCTGCATTTGGATTCCCCCAGGACTTCGAATCCCTCAAAGGCAGCCCCCTCTCATGACCATAGGATTAGGGTCACCCTGGGCAGGGCACACCCACTGTTTCTAGAACGGGCTTGGCTCATGGCCAGGTCACTGGGAGAGGTCTGCCCTTAGGGATGACCTCAGTATTTGGACCTGGACCTGCATGGACTTGGCTCCTCACCAAACGACCCAGGTAGGCTCTGTGATCTGGCTTCTGAACAGAACCTGTTGGCTGCTGAGCCTGGAGGCGGGGAGGGGGGGAGACAGGGATAGTATTTGCTTCTAGGTAACAGAAACCCTGCGGGAATCTGGCTTAGCCAGCGAGGAAGCCCCAGGGGAGGGTGGGCTTTCAGGTCTGTGGCTATGGCATCCCGATGGGGACATAAAATGTCCTTTAGGGACTGTGCCGTTTTTCCCTTCACGCACGAGGCCGCCTGCTTCCCCACAGTCTCACCAACAAGAACGTGCTGTCAGGCATTTGGATTTTTGCCCATCTGATAGGTGCAAAGCGGCATCGCCGTGTTATTTCCATTTTAATTGCTCTTATTGTGAGAGAAGTTGAGCTTTTTTTTCCGTCTGCTTAAGGGCTACTAGTGTTTCCTTTTCTGAGAAATCTGGCTCACTTGTCATCAGGGTTGCTGGTCTTGGGTGCAGGTTCTGTCTGTCTGTCTCTCTGCTGGTGGTGGAACCCAGGTGACAGCCGGCGTCCCGGTCGCTGAAAGGCGGAGGAGTGAGGAGGGCTGCGTTCTGTCTGTGGCTAAATTCATCCCAGTTCCCCACCCCAGGCTACCTTTCCTGCTTCTTCTATAGGTAAGAAGAGCTGCCCTAGCCAGTCTGGCTCAGTGGATAGAGCGTTGGCCTACGGACTAAAGGGTCCTGGGTTTGATTCTGATCAAGGGCACGTACCTCAGTGGCAGGCTCCTCCCTGTCCCCGGGGGCCCTAGTTGGGGCCTGTGCAGAAGGCAACCAATCAGTGTGTTTCAATCACATGGATATTTCTCTGTCTTTCCCTCTCTCTTCCACTCTCCCTAAAAATCCATGGAAAAATATCCTCAGGTGAGGATTAAAAAAAAAGAAGAGCTAAAAACTCACGTTCCACCCGGCCAGTGTGACTCAGTGATTGGGCGTTGACCCATGAACCAGGTCAGGGTTCAATTCTCGGTCAGGGCACATGCCCGGGTCGTGGGCTTCATCCCCAGTAGGAGGTGAGTAGGAGGCAGCTGATGAATGATTCTCTTATCATTGATGTTGCTCCCTTTCTCTCTCTGAAATCAATAAAAATATATGTAAACAAACAAACAAACAAGAAAACACCTCACGTTCCTAATCTGCCTTACCTCTCGGGGTGGCCACGTGACACTGGCCTGCTCAGTGAGATGAAAGTGGAAGGGTGCTCGGGAATTTCTGGGAAACCTCTGGTTAGAAAAAGGACCGGGGTCACTGGCATAGCCCCTTTCTTCCTGCCTCACTCTGGATGGAATGGCTGCCTTCTTGACACCATAAAGGAAAGACAGAGAGAATCAAAGACATGTTGATCCTAATACCATTCCAGCCACCAAACCAAGGCCAGGAACCACCTCCCTCCAGACTTGTGCACCGAGCTCATTAAATATCTTCACTCTTAAACCACCGCTTGTGCCCTGGCTGGTCTGGCTCAGTGGGTAGAGTGTCAGTCTGGGGACTGAAGGGTCCTGGGTTCGATTCTGGTCGGGGGCACATGCCCAGGTTGCAGGCTCGGTGCAGCCAATCAATAATTCTCTCTCGTAATTGATGTTTCTCTCTCTCTTTCTCTCTCTCCCCCTTTCTCTCTGAAGTCAATAAAAATATATTTAAAAAACAAACAAACAGAAAAACCCCACCGCTTGTCAGGGTGTGTGCGACGGGCGGGGGTGTTCTGCTACTTGCTGATAAAAACAGTCCTAATTGATAGTGCGTGGCTGTCTTTTAGGAGGGAGAAAACTTGTCCCGGAAGTCACCCTTCGTCTCCCTGGACTTCTCAGAATATTGGCTACCATTGGTTCACATGCCCTTTCCTGAACCAAGTGCCTTCAGGGGGAATAGGTTCCCCTTGGGCCAATGGGGTGACACCTGGGGTGTGGGGGTCAACTTCCCCTGAGGCAGATGGGCACAAGGAAGAGAGGAGGGTCCAGCCAGCGTGGCTCAGTGGTTGAGCACCAACCTATGAACCAGGAGGTCACGGTTTGATTCCCAGTCAAGGGCACATGCCCAGGTTTCAAGCTCGATTCCCAGTGTGGGGCGTGTGGGGAGGCAGCTGATCCATGATTCTCTCTCATCATTGAAGTTTCTATCTCTCCCTCTCCCTTTCTCTCTAAAAAATCAATAAAGGAGAAAAAAATACATGAAGAGACTACACTCGCTTATACACTCCACAAAGTCAGGGGTATCCCTGATCCCCAGGAATTGATGGAAAATGTTGGCCAGGACAGAGCCCTTCAACATCAACCCGGAGGCCTGCCTGCACCTTGGCATGAGTCCCCTGAGTTGGGGGCTATGGTAATTCAATATGCTGCCCTCGGACCTAATTGCACTGGTACCTGCTCTATATTTCCCCGTCACGACCACAAGAAACCCGTGTCACCCTAGCTGGTGTGGCTCAGTGGATAGAGCGTCGGCCTGCAGACTGAAGGGTCTTGGTTCGATTCCAGTCAAGGGCACATGCCTGGGTTTCGGGCTCGATCCCAGGTGTGGGGCTTGCAGGAGGCAGCCGATCAATGATTCTCTCTCATCACTGATGTTTCTATCTCTCTCCCCCCGCTCCCTTCCTCTCTGAAATCAATAAAAATATATTTTTAAAAAGTTAAAAAGACACCAGTGTTGCGAAGATCACGAGGTGGGCGTGGTGCTGAGCTGTTGAGCCCATTTTGGTTCCAGGCATCATCCCTTCCTTTTCTGGGGCCGCCCACAACACCCCTCACCTCTCGCTCAGCCCTCTGGCTCAGCGTCCGGAAGTCTCCTCTTTCTTCTCTTTCCAAAGCAGGGGCAGCCTTTTGACCCTCGCCAACCTTCCCTCTCATTTTCCATTTGTAATTCTGCAAAGGCCGCTGGCCGTGATTCAGCATCCTCCTCAGCGGCCAGGATGGAATTAGTCCGGGCCAAGGGACCTGACTTCACGTAGCCAGGAGCTCACTGGCAAACCCTGCAACCCACCCACCCACCCAGGACTCGGTAAGCGCTAGCTCCTTCCTGGTGATGCTCACGCGCCAGCCAGGTCTGAACGGCAAAGCCCCATTGCCCTTGGGTTCCTGTCTTCTGTGGCCTCCGCCCGCGTCCCCCCTCTCGGCTCCTAGCAACAGGCCTGCTCTGTCTTTCGTCATCTCTCTCTGAACCGAACAAAAAGCTCCTTTCAATGGTCCTTCATGGCAGTGCTCTGTAACAGCTAGGCCTGCTTCCCCCATTATAACAATATACGCTCATTAAAGAAAAATCCAGTTAAGCAGGAAGATGGAATAAGGGAAAGCAACTCCCTGTCCCATGACCTAAATCCAGCTTAGTTAACATCGCAGTGCCTTCTGGGAGGTGTTATGACTTGTTGTGTTTTTTTTTTTTAAAGTATATTTTATTGATTTTTTACAGAGAGGAAGGGAGAGGAATAGAGAGTTAGAAACATCGATGAGAGAGAAACATCTATCAGCTGCCTCCTGCACACCCCCTACTGGGGATGTGTCCGCAACCAAGGTACATGCCCCTGACCGGAATCGAACCCGGGACCCTTGAGTCCGCAGGCGGACACTCTACCCACTGAGCCAAACTGGTTAGGGCAACGACCTGTTCATTTTGGAGTGCTTCCTTTTAAAAATTTCCTTCTAACCCAACCGGTTTGGCTCAGTGGATAGAGTGCTGGCCTGTGGACTGAAGGGTCCCGAGTTCGATTCCAGTCAAGGGCACATGCCCGGGTTGCAGGCTCAATCCCTAGTGGGGGGTGAGCAGGAGGCAGCCAATCCATGATTCCTCTCATCACTGATGTTTCTATCTCTCTCTCCCTCTCCCTTCCTTTCTGAAATCAATAAAAATATATTTTTAAAAATTTCCTTCTAAATCTGAGCTCTCATGGCTAACCTTTGCAGACCCTTTGGCAAAACAATTGATGCAATTTCTGCAGAGATTCTAACCTTAGTGCCTTCATTTCTGAAGTTTCCAATTTTTCTATGGGGGACCTATGTTGTTGCTCTGGTAACCACAAAAATGTAACATCTGTGTTGTGGGCTGAATTGCGTCCCCCCAAATTCCCATGTGGAAATCCTAACCCCCAGTACCTCAGAACATGACTGTACTTAGAGGGAGATAGGGTCTTGAGAGAGTTTTGGAGACCCGATTCTGGACCCACACTTACCTGAGCTCAGCGGTTCAGATCCCAGCTCAGCTGTTTTCTTCCTGTGTTCAACGTTTCTCATCTGTAAAATGAGGTCACAAAAACATGGGGATGGGGACTCATTGAATGAATGCAGCCAAAGTGATACGTTTGAACGAATGTATCTAAACTCCTCTGTCCAGTAGAATAGCCACCAGCTGCACACACCTGCTGAACATCTGAAATGCTCATTTTAAAAAATAATTTTTATTTTTACCACTGAGCCACACCAGTTGGGCCTATTTCATTAAAAAAAAAAAAAAAATTGTTTAGCCCCAGCCAGTTGGCTTAGTGGATAGAGCATTGGCCTGAGGACTGAAGGGTCCTGGGTTCGATTCCTGGTCAGGGCACATGCCCAGGTTGCAGCTTGATCCCCAGTAGGGGGTGTGCAGGAGCCCCCTCAATGATTCTCTCTCTCCCTCTCTGAAATCAATAAAATTTAAAAATAACTGAATAATTTTTATTTTTTAGTTACAGTTGATGCACAATATTATATTAGTTTCAGGGGGACAACCATGTGATTAACTAGACATTGATATAACTTACCAAGTGATCACCCCAATAAATCTAGTACCCATCTGACACCATATATGGCTATTACAATATTGTTGACTATACTCCCTATGCAGTACTTTATATCCCTTGGCGATTCTTGTTTCCTTTTAAAAAATAAAATAGCCCTAGTGGGTTTGGCTCAGTGGATAGAGCATCGGCCTGTGGACTGAATGGTCCCAGGTTCGATTCCGGTCAGGGGCATGTACCTTGGTTGCAGGCACATCCCCAGTAAGGGGTGTGCAGGAGGCAGCTGATCAATGTTTCTCTCTCATCAATGTTTCTAACTCTCGATCCCTCTCCCTTCCTCTCTGTAAAAAATTTTTTAAAAATGAAATAAAAAAATAAAAATAAAGGAAAAAACAAAACAAAAACAAAATAGCCCTAGTGTGTTTGGCTCAGTGGATAGAGCATCGGCCTGTGGACTGAAGGGTCCTGGGTTTGATTCCGGTCAAGGCATGTACCTTGGTTGCAAGCTTGATCCCAGGCCCCGGTCAGGGAACCTGCAGGAGGCAACCAATTGATGTGTTTCTCTCACATTGATTTTCCCTCTCGATCTCTTCCCCTCCTTTCTTTTTTTTATTTTTTATTTTCAAAAATGTATTTTTTAAAAAATATATTTTATTGATTTTTTTACAGAGAGGAAGGGAGAGAGATAGAGAGTCAGAAACATCGATGAGAGAGAAACATCGATCAGCTGCCTCCTGCACACCCCCCACTGGGGAAGTGCCCGCAACCAAGGTACATGCCCTTGATTGGAATCGAACCTGGGACCTTTCAGTCCGCAGGCCAATGCTCTATCCACCGAGCCAAACCGGTTTCGGCTCAAAAATGTATTTTTTTTTTTTGCCCAACTGGTTTGGCTCAGTGGAGAGAGCGCCGGCCTGCGGACTGAAGGGTCCCAGGTTCGATCCCGGTCAAGGGCATGTACCTTGGTTGCAGGCGCATCCCCAGTAAGGGGTGTGCAGGAGGCAGCTGATCAGTGTTTTTCTCTCATCGATGTTTCTAACTCTCTATCCCTCTCTCTTCCTCACTGTAGAAAATCAATAAAATACATTTTTTTAAAAATGTATTTTTTTATTGATTTCAGAGAGAAAGGGGGTAAGGAGAGAGAGAAATAGAAACATCAATGATGAGAGAGAGAATCATTAATCGGCTGTCTCCTGCACGGCCCACAGTAGGGATTGAGCCCACAACCGGAACATGTACCCTTGACCGGAAATCGAATCGTGACCTGGTTCATAGGTCGATGCTCAACCACTGAGCCACACCGGTTGGGCTCTCCCTCTTTTCCAGGCTCTAAGCATCAATGGAAAAATATCCTTGGGTGAGGATTAACAAGAAAATGAAGTAACACGCAGCTAGCAGGATGTCTGCCGTGGCCCCCGTGGTTTGCATTGTGTCACTGCAGGGCTATCATCAGACAGCGCTGGCTTGAAACGACGCCTGGCACGGAGCGATCGCCACTGTGGCTACTGTCGCTGTTTAGTGCCTGGCACATGGTAAGTGCTTTTCAAGTGGCAGTTTTTGTTCTGAAGACTCTCACCGTGCCCTGTGCCCCCGCTTTGGAGATCTGTGCCTGGAACACATTGTCTGATTCCCTGCCCAGCTTGTCCTATCCACCCACCGTAAGTGATATTGGACTCTCCTTTCATCTTTCATTTTCATCTCCTCCCCCCGCGCCCTGCCCCTGACCTCTCCAGGGGCATACACACACACACACACACACACACACACACACACACACACACACACACAACTCTTGGCCATCATCGATCTGCTTCCTCCCCAGACCCCGCACATCCGAGGGCTGGTCTGTGACGCTCAGACAGATGGAGCGTTGCCAGCAGGGGCTGTTGGCAGGCTGCCAAGGGGCTGCCCAAAGCGGCCTTTCCCCTGACAGATCCCCTCCGGGGGCTCCCAGGCCCACCCGCAGCCTGGCAGCTGGTGGAGCGGAGCGCGGAGGCTCAGCTGCGGACCTGGAGGGCTGGTCTCTCGGGAGAGCAATGCGCACACCAGATGGCAATCCTGGGCACAGCCCGCAGGGTGAGAACAGTTTCGTTTAAAAAGAAAATATCTCGATCAGCCACTTGGGTTGAGGAACCGGAGGTGCCAGGGACATCGCTGAAGGAAGATGGTTAACCGCGGGGGAAATAAACACCGTAACAGGGTTTGTTAACAGAAACTTGGAGACAGGGACCCCCCAAAAAGAGAGAATTCAAGGGAGAAGTTGAAAGAAATGAAGGCGGGTGGAGTGGGACAATATGGCAGGTGCCACAGCCTGGGAGAAATTCCAATGAGAAATTCCCAGTGGCAGGGACACCTACATTTTACCGCGTGCTATGTATATACTAGAGGCTCGATGCACAAAATTCATGCAAGAGTAGGCCTTTGCAGCCCTGGCTGCCTCGTAGCCCCGCCCCCGCCCACAGGTCATTCTGGAAAGTCATTCTGCACTCTGGTCTAATTAGCATATTAGCTGTTTATTATATAGGATGGTGCCAGATGGGTACTAGGTTGATTGAGGTGATCACTTTGTAAGTTATATCAATGTCTAATCATGCAATTGTACATTTGAAATTACTATAATAGTGTACATCAACTGTAATGGAAAAATACATATATTTTTGTTAATCCTCACCTGAGGATATTTTTCTGTTGATTTTTTTTTTTTTTTTTTTTAGAGAGAATGGAAGGGAGGGGGGAGAGATAGAGAGAGAGAAACATCGATGTGAGAGAGATACATCGATTGGTTGCCTCCCTACAACCAAGGTACATGCCCTTGACCGGAATCGAACTGGGACCATTCAGTTCCTGGCCCAATGCTCTATCCACTGAGCCAAACCGGAGGGATAAAAAAATATTTTTTAAAAATGACACAATTGTATTATATGGTAAAATACACATAACACCACTGACCCTCTTTTTTAAAATATATTTTTATTGATTCCAAAGAGGAATGGAGAGGGGGAGGGATAGAAACATCAATGATGAGAGAGAATCATTGATCGGCTGCCTCCTGCACACCCCATACTGGGGATTGAGCCTGCACCCGGACATGTGCCCTTGATGAGAATCAAACCCAGGATCCTTCAGTCTGCAGGCCAACACTCTATCCACTGGGCCAAACCAGATCGGGCACCACTGATCCTCTTAACCATTTCCAGGTGTGCAGTTCAGTGGCATTCAGCACATTCACATTACTGTGCAGCCATCACCACCACCCACCAAAAGAGCTATTCCACCTTCCCACACAGGAGCTCTTGCCCCATTAAAAACTAACTCTCAGGCCCCAATCGGTTTGGCTCAGTGGATAGAGCATTGGCCTGCGGACTGAAAGGTCCCAGGTTCGATTCCGGTCAAGGGCATGTACCTTGGTTGCGGGCACCTCCCCAGCAGGAGGTGTGCAGGAGGCAGCTGATCGATGTTTCTCTGTCATCGATGTTTCTTTTCTTTTTTTTTTAATATATATTTTATTGATTTTTTACAGAGAGGAAGGGAGAGGGAGAGAGATAGTTAGAAACATCGATGAGAGAGAAACATTGATCAGCTGCCTCCTGCACACCTCCTGCTGGGGATGTGCCCGCAACCTGGGTACATGCCCTTGACTGGAATCGAACCTGGGACCCTTCAGTCCCCAGGCCGACGCTCTATGAGCCAAACTGGTTAGGGCTGTCATCGATGTTTCTAACTCTCTATCCCTCTCCCTTCCTCTCTGTAAAAAATCAATAAAATATATTTAAACAAAAACAAAAAAACTAACTCTCAAAAAAACCCACCACACCAAAAACCCCCTAACTCTCCATTCTCCCTGTCCCCGGGCAACAGCCATTCTACTGTCTGTCTCTGGGAACCTGACTCCTCCAGGCGCCTCGCAGAAGTAGAACCAGGCAGTCTTGGTCCTCTGGAGCCTGGCTCACTTCACTCAGCATAATCTATGCTGCAGCCGCACAGTCTCCCCCGAACAGCGTCTGCGCCATTTACGTTCTCACCGACCATGCGCCGAGTTCCAGTTTCTCCACGTCCTCGCCAACATTTGCTATTTTACTTTTTTTCTTTTCTCGTTTTTGTTTTGTTAATCTTCACCCGAGGATATTTTCCCATTGCTTTTTAGAGTGGAAGGGAAGGGGAAAGACATAGAGAAACATCGATTGGTTGCCTCCCACACCAGGCAGGGATCGAGCCTGCAACCGAGGTACATGCTCTTGACTGGAATTGAACCCGGGACCCTTCAGTCCACAGGCTGATGCTCTATCCTCTGAGCCAAACTGGATAGGGCTTCTTTTCTTTTCTTCTTTTTTTTAAAAAAATGTCTTTATTGATTTTAGCGAGAGAGGGAGAGAGAGAGAAAGAGAGAGAGAGAGAGAGAGAGAGAGAGAGAGAGAGAGAGAGAGAAACATTGATGAGAGAGAACCAGCAACTGGCTGCCTCCTGCATGCCTTCTACTGGGGATCGAGCCCGCAGCCCGGGCCTGTGCCCTGACCGGAATTG